GCCTCTTCTTCCTTCTTGCTGGCGTCTCGCTGAGCCCGGCACCTACGGACGGACGAGATGAGACACACACACACACACACACCACACACACACACTCACACACACGGTGCGCACTCGCACGGTGCCCGCTTGGCTGCTAGGCTACTTCCCTCCCTCTTTTCCTCCCTCCCAGGCCCCCTTCTCCCACCCCAGGCAGTCCCGTCTGGGCCGTCGCCCCAGCAGCTGAGGTCTCTGCCGGACTGCCACTCGAATGAGGGCTCCAAAAGCCCCTGAACCTGTGCTTAGGGTCCCCAGCCCCTATCCCACGGAACCCCGTGATTCCTATCTGCCAGGAACCCTCAATCTTCTCATTTGCTACTCCCAATCCCTTCACCCTGGGGTCCCCCATCCCGGACCCGGACATCACCAAACCTCGGATGCCAAGGCCCCTCCCCCTCTCCATATGGCTTACCCTACAAGACCCCGACGTTCCCCTCTCCCCGTCTGCGTCCCGGGCCGCTAACGTTGCAGCCCTTCCTCTCGGACACCTTGAGACCCTCTAATTTTGTAGTCCCCCAGCCCTCCGCAGCGTCGGAGGGACCCCGATGCTGGTCCCGGCGAATGTCCCGCGCCGAGGACAAATGCGGCGGCCCCGGCACCCGGAGGCAGGAGGAGTCGGGTACAAGTGTTCATTGATAAATTAGTAAATAAACATGCCGGGTGAGCGCGGTCACCTTCTCCCAGCCCGCCTCTGAGGGCCCAGTGCGCGTGCCTGTGCAAGAGGTGCGTGTGGCCCGGGGCCGCACCTGTGTGCGCGCGCGTGTGGGTCCCCCGGTCGGCCCGACGTCTGTGGAGCTATGTAGTGTGTCTGCGGGCTTGTGTTCTCTCTGGAGCTGGATGTGTGTCTGTGCATCGTGCATCCGTCTGTCATCTGGCCTCTCCTCCTGCGTGTCTGTGATACATGGAGCTATGCTTGCCAACCCCGACAGCGTCTAGCTAGCGCCTGCCTCGCCCTCTCCCGCGCGTCTTGTTTCTCCAGCCCCGTTTCCCCCTCGTTCATTCTCGTACTCTCAGATCAGAAGACCTAACCTTCAGTTGAGGATTTTATGTGTGTAAACGAAACTAGACTCCCCTTTTAACACCTCCCTGCACCCAATGAGAGTTCTATTTCAGAGCTCCCCAGAAGAGAATGCGTGTGAGTGTCTAAGGGGCGAGCATCTGTGCTGTCCCTCCCTGTGTGAGCGCTTCCGCGGTTCATGGGGCAGGCGGAGATTTAAAAGCTTGTCTGTTGCTTCTAGCGCTGGGGCATCTCGACTCTCACTCTCTGCCCTGGAACCCCACCTGGTGGACAGTCGTAGCACTACAGATTCAGGGGGAAGCAATTCCTGCTCCCCTTGCCCTCCGGCTCCTTTCACGGTGGAAGACGAACCCCAAGGGCCTGCATGTACACTCTTAAGTGGCTCCGCTTCTGCCTCAGCGCCTTCAGACCTCCATCCCTGGCGGCTTGGGGCCCAGACACTCATAAAGTCTCTGTGAGGGCCACTGTGACCCCAGAAAGAGAGAGCAGAGGCGGGGAAGTTTCACAGGACAGTCAACTCTAGACTGGGTACCCAGGAGCCCTGATACCAAAGCCACACCGTTCCTACCTGGGGGTGAGGCTGGGCGAGAATGGGGCTAGGGAAGATTATTGACGCCCTGCTGTTTCGAAGAGCCTTCAGAGTCTAGCCTGATCTCCAGACACAGCACTCCCCAGAGGTGGCCAAACACCCAAGGTGACCTTGGGGAACCACCTGTGGAGGTATCAACCTCTGAAAGGATGGACACAGCCTTGTAGAGATGCAAATAGATGCACAGGCCAATACTGAGCACCCTTGTGTGCACCCACACTCGCATGCACGTGCGTGCGCACACGCACGCACACACACACACACACACACACAGAAAGGCGCAGGCACACATACTTAGGCGATTATTGTCAACAAATTCACGCAGCACACCCGCCTCCAACCTCAAGAGACCACGGGAGGTGTCTGCTCTGCCGGGATCACAGCAAAAGTCTCCAGGAACTTATTGTCTTCCCCTCCCCCGACTTCACTGATGGCTTTGGGCACTTCCATCCTCTCCTCCTGTTCAGGTGGGAGTTGGGAGGGGGCATGGGGGAGTCATTCTGAGTCTTTATTGCCCAGCCAACCAAGTGGGGTCCTGGGGAATGTCTATGGGGACGGCGTGGCTTCACAGCAATAGTCGCTGGGTTTCCTAATTGGAACCATCTCTCTGCTCAAACCCCAAAGAGTACTTAGGGAAAAAAAGAAGAAAAGCCGTGGTATTATGATTCCCTAAGACTCGCAGAGCTGGGAGGGAGAGTAGGAATACGGGGGACAGGGGAGAGTCAGCAGCCCTCTTGACCAGTAAGATGCCATAGGGGACATTCTTCCACCCACTTCAGATGGACCCAGAGCCCTGGCCTCACACTGAGCCCTGATCCAGACTGTGGTCTGACCCATAAACTTGGCCTAAAACAGACCCCCGAGCCTAATCCTAGACTGACCCTTAATCCTGGTCATAGAGTGTCTGGACCCCAAACTGAACCCCAGTCTTCAGAAGCATGATCGAGCCCTACCTTTGGTGAAAGGAGGATGGTTGGCACCTTGTGCACTGCCTCCAAGATGGGTGACAGCTCAACCCATGAGGCTCTGGGAGATGGACTGGACCGTAGGACAGAATATTCCCTGCCCATCTCCCCAGCCCTTTTCCATGGAGCCCGGGGCACACCCCAGGGCTTCAGCTGCTGCCTGGAGTGCTCTGAGCTTCGGCCCCTCTACTTCCCCCTGCTGTAGCCTGATAGGCACCTTGAAATCAGTGAGAGCAGACTTGCGGGTCAGTCCCAGGAACACCGTTTCAAGCGGAGTTCTGCCGGGGTGAACTTTGCTTTGCTTAGCAGAGGGGCTGGGGGAACACAGAGGGCAGGCCTCAGGCCCTTTCGGAAGATGTAGACAGTGGGCAAGGCACAGCCTTTACACCCTCTTCCCGGGCTCAGAAAGCACCCATCCACAGGGGCAGATCTGCTCTTCAGGGATGCACAAAACTCCCCAGGAGTGTCCTGGGCCTTTCTATGCCCAAAGAAATAGACATTGCACTTTGCAAATGCCTGACATGTGTGCAGCCCGGTAGAGCCAGCAAATCTCTTCTGCAGATACTATTTTATTTCATCTCCACACAGCCCTGTGAGATAACACTATTTTTAGATATTAGATTCACATCCAACTTTTTCTACTGATGAAAAATCCGAGGCCCAGAGCCCCCCTCCCCATCCCCATTGCATTGTCCTGG